CCGTTCTCTTGCTAAATCAGCCTAGAAATATCCAAAGTGTTAACATAAAAGAAAAACTGCCTGGCATTCCTCACGAGGGTCACCTACCTTCAAAGCGACAGACTCTCTGCCCCTAGGGTTGCCCTCCCCCTACCGCATAGCCTCCTTGTTAACGTTGTGATTTCTCGTGTAAACTTTTCCCTGCTAGTTATGAAGTAATGTGTGAAAAGTTCTTTCGCTTTCGGTGGCTCAGAATAGAGTTTCTCCTTATTAACGCAAAGCGGTTTATGAAAGATTCTTGAAAGAAGATTGTTTTATTTTTAACATCTTCCGTAATTGAATTTGTTACTCTATTTTACAGATATACAGTTGTAGGATCGCCTTACTGGATGGCCCCGGAGATGTTGAATGGTAATCCATGTCTCTTGATATTATCAATGGTTACAACAATAACAACAACATCAATGACAACAGCAACAACAATAACGATAACAACATCAACAATAACGATAACAACATCAACAATAACAACAACAATAACAATACTAACAACAACAATAGCAATATTAACAACAACAGTAACAACGTCAACAATAACAATATTAACAACAACAAAAACAAGAACAGTAACAATAACAACGACCTTCTTTGTACCCAACATTTACACATCAGTTCAACTAACAATAAAGAAACATGAAGAAGAATACTGATTTCTTGAAATAACCATATGGAACTGGAAAAACGAAACAACCGTTCTTTTGCACAATCACACGTTTTCTCACAATTCAAATTTTTTTTGTGGCAATTCCCGTTTTCATTTTTACACTGTATTCTACCAAACATCAGCTTTTGTCAACACAAAACTCGTGGAAATCTGGAGAATATTTTAATGTTTATTACACTGTTATCAGTGTTACTGTAGTCAAATCATTACCTTAGTTAATCAGAAACTTCAACCGTAATATTGTGATTGTTTATTGTGGTTATTTTTTTCAGGTATGACCTACAACGAAAAGGTTGATGTGTTTTCCTTTGGGATTGTCATGTGTGAGGTAGGGTGGTTATTTTTTACACAATTATATACCAAAATCGTTGTGTCTTTGCAAAGCCGTGACTGGAAAACTAGAGTTTGGTATGTTGTGTGTGTTTGCTTGCGCAGAATTTTGTGATAGCCTCAATAAACTCGTGCAAATACTCTAATCAAGGCCCCGCTGTCTTCTCAGAGCTAAACGCGCAGTGGAGGTACACCCAGAAAAATCGGTAAGGGTGTGCAGCCCGCGTCCCAAAACCCTTACCCTATTTAAGACCAAAATCTATGATTTTCCCTACCCTGTTTATGACCTGACCAAAAATTTGTTACCCAATTTGAGACCTGACCCTTAAATCAATAACCTTTTTCAGACCTGCCCTATAATTAGCTCCCTAGTTCAGGTCTATGTTAAAGGAATGGCTTTTGTTGTTGGTCTTATCGATAACGATGAAAAAAGTAACTACTTCTAAAAACAAAAACTCCATACCTAATTCAAGACTACAGTACAGAAGCCATACCCTATTTGAGACCAAAACGGCTAAAAAACCATTGGGGCCGCTCATACCCATATAGCCATATAAGGGAGTACCACCCCGGGCTTCTAATGGGTTGTATCTTCCCACTCTTAGCGCCGCCACTGTCACGTTTTCCCGCGCTTTTCACCGGTCACGCTACGCGCTTGCTACCGATTGTATTTTCCTCAGCGCTTGCCAGTGGCTACATGTTTTCCGCGCTTTGCAAGTCACTTGTTTTCTGGCGCTTACCGTGCATGTGTTTTTACGTACATGTTTTGCGACGAGTTTTGACTTGCTTGTGTTGACGCTGTAATAAACATGGCCAGCGGTCTATCTTATATGTGGGGGTACCGGGAGGAGATTCAGGGGCAATACCATGTACTTCGCTTGCTTGGTTGGTTTTCCCTCCCTCCCACTGAGGTAAGTATATCTTCCACACACTGTCTTTTCACAGTGCTGCGTTGACAGAGTATACCTACAATTTTTGTGAAGCTGGTTCATATTACTGATGTCGCGAACGCGGCCCGCCTTTTTCCAAGTACGGCTGGTGTGCACGTTTTTGCCTTGATTTCTGACCACTACTTGTTGCCGGAAAGGTTTGGTCTTGAGCTTCTGGTTTCATTATTGGAAAACTCTCTGTTTACTAATCTGGCTTGTGTCGGTTTGCAGATTATTGGCCGGGTAAAGGCTGATCCGGATTTTCTTCCTCGCCTGTCAGTGAGTAGTTATTTATGTTCTGGTATCAAACACAGCACGTAAGAATGTACTTAAAAATAACAGTTTACTAAGATAGAAAAACACCAAAGAGATGATGATAAACCATGAAGGAACAAGGATGGTTGAAGAAGGAGAAGATTTACACGGATTACAAACAACGAACTTAAAAAAATTTGGCTAAACTTATCAAGATGCAGAAACCGTGACGTAGCTCCTTTGATGTTCTTTCTTGTTTACCTCTAAAGGCATAGCAAAACGGGAAATGTTTGGTTTCCAAACGTTTTACCGTTTAGACGGCAATTAAACGTGTTTGGCACCGTTTGACCGCTCAATACCACACAACATGATATTGTTTGTTTACCAAACAGTTTGAATCTTGTTTGGTCGCCAAACATTTCCCGTTTGGACAGGACTTATATTCCACATTGGCTGACTTTGACTAAATGTTTTGTCACCTCTTATCTGTTCACAGAATTTTGGTTTAGATGAGGAGAAATTCCGCAAAGAGTTTTGCGATGGATGTCCTGAGTTATTTTACAGAATAGCATTTCTTTGCTGTGATTTGGACTCTGATAAGAGGTGCAGATGAATGCCGCTTTACTGTTTACGTATGATGACACTGCACACGAAAATTGTTTCTCGCCTAATAATTATCTCCTCAGAGCTTTATTATCTAGCTCTCTGCACGCACTGCAGGCCTATGATGAGGGAGCATCATAGGCCTGCAGTGCGTGCAGAGAGCT